CAGAAATATATCATAGGAGATCCAAACGAAGGAATGAAAACCAGGGATGCCCTTAAAAAGAAAGCAAATATTGCTTTGATCTCTCAAATAGAGCCAAAAAAGGAAGAGGAAGCTTTGAAGGAATCAAGCTGGGTGAAAGCCATGCAAGAAGAACTAGATCAATTCAGCAAGAATCAAGTATGGAAGCTGATACCCCGACCTGAAAATGTATCCGTCATTGGAACAAAATGGCTGTTCAGGAACAAACTGAACGAAGAAGGACAAGTCATAAGGAACAAAGCCAGATTAGTTGCTCAAGGCTATTCACAACAAGAAGGAGTCGACTACGATGAAACCTTTGCCCCAGTAGCTCGATTAGAGTCTATACGAATCCTGTTAGCTTATGCATCATTTAAGGGATTCAGATTGTTTCAAATGGATGTCAAAAGAGCTTTTCTGAATGGATTCATCGAAGAGGAAGTTTTTGTGAAACAACCTCCAGGCTTTGAAGACTCAAAATTCCCTTATCATGTGTACAAGCTTACTAAGGCCCTATACGGACTGAAACAGGCTCCACGTGCTTGGTATGACAGGTTAAGTACCTTCCTTGTTGATCATGGGTTCACCAGAGGTAAAATTGATACTACTCTATTCATTAAACGATCAACAGAAGGTAATCTTATCATCCAAATTTATGTTGATGATATTATCTTTGGTAGTGCTAACTCTCTTATGTGCAAGGAATTTGCAAACCTCATGCAAAGCGAATTCGAAATGAGCATGATGGGTGAACTCACATTTTTCCTTGGGCTTCAAATTCATCAATCTGAAGAAGGAACCTTCATCTGTCAAACTAAATATACAAAGGAGCTGATCCAAAAATTTGGCATGAGCAATGCAAAATCAATTGGCACTCCTATGAGTCCGACTACAAATTTGGATAAGGACGAACGGGGTACTCCAGTTGATGAAACAAAATATAGAGGAATAATTGGATCACTACTGTATTTGACCGCAAGTCGACCAGATATTATGTTCAGCGTTTGTAAATGTGCCAGGTTTCAGTCGGCTCCCAAGGAGTCACATCTAACTGCTGTAAAAAAGAATTATTCGATATATAATTGGCACAGTATCTTATGGATTATGGTATCCTCGCTCTAACTCGTTTAAATTAGAAGGTTTCTCAGATGCAGATTTAGCAGGTGATAAAGAAGACAGGAAAAGCATGAGTGGCACTTGTCAATTACTAGGAAAGGCTTTAATATCCTGGAACAGTAAAAAGCAAGCATCGGTCACCTTGTCCACTACTGAAGCTGAGTACATTGCCATTGGTCAATGCTGTGCACAACTCCTGTGGATGTCCCATCAATTGGGTGACTATGAACTTTCCTTCAAACCTATACAAATCTTTTGTGATAATTCTAGTGCAATTTGTCTCTCTAAAAATCCCGTGCATCATTCTAGAGAAAAGCATATAGACATTAAACATCATTTTATTAGAGATCATGTTCTTAAAGGTGACATAGAATTAGCTTTTGTTGGCACTTCTGCCCAATTAGCTGATATTTTTACTAAACCATTATTGGAAGAAAGATTTTGTTCTTTGAGAAAATTACTTGGCATCATTTGTTTTTCAAAAAACTCTTAGGACCAAAGTGTTATTTTTCAAAAACTTGTCATAATTACTCTTTTTCAGTGCATTAATTACGCAGTCTGTTTTTCCCTCTCTTTTTATTCTGTTTCCCATTAGTTTGCATTCGAAGTTGGAAAGCCAATCATCACGTCGCTTCGACTGACACTCTTTCCTTTTCTGTACTCAACCGTCAAATCTCTTCTCTTTAAGTTAAGCCTTTTTCGGTCCCTTGCATCTCCACCTTCTTTCTTCAACCTGTACCAACCCTCTCTTCTTCCATGGCAAAATCTTCCAAAAACCCCTCTGCTTCCACCAGAAAAAGTACCCGCTCAAAGGCAAAACCCTCTTCCGCGCCTCCTGAGCAAGTAGACTTAGGGTCTGATCGTTCTGAGGGCTGTGCCTCTTCTCAAGGAGTGTACTCTGAACACTCTCAACTTTTAGGAGAAAAAGCCTCTGGTAAGAGTCCCATGGAGGATCCTCCTGCCTCTTCCACTCCAAAGAAATTGAAGTTCGATTTCTCTGCCTCACTCGATTCCGACCTAAATTTCTGGGACACCCCAAATAGGGATTTCTTTATCTCTCTCAAGGACAAGCCCATCGCCCATGGAAGAGTTGTGGATCTTGATGGTATGGAGTCCCTCAACTGCAAGGTAAAGGATCTTTTCGTGTATCAAGGGTGGGAAACATTTCTCTCTATTTCTCCGCCTAAAGTGTATGAACCCCTTGTCCGTATGTTTTATGCTAATCTTCGTTCTAGTAAACCCGATAGGCTTGAAACTCTTGTTCTTGGTAAACACATTGTTCTTGATTGTGGTCTGTTCGATTCTCTTTTCTTCTGTCGCTGCTCTGGTTTTCCTACCCTCTTTAAGAATGTCTGGCCTGAGAATTTTGAAATCACCTTTGACCAGGCTAAACAGTGTATTGCTGAAAATCCCTCTGAAACTCTTCCCAATCAATTAGGGCCTAGTGATGTGAGCTTTGAAACTCGTTCTACTTTCTGTCCAAAAATGTCCTCACCGTTAACAAAGTAGGTAAAATCATTCCCAACCCTAACGTATTTCCGACGTGGCAATGAGAGCCCTCACTTAAACTACTAACTGGGCAATTTTCAACCCAAATTTTAAAGGTCTATACTCATTTCTTTGACCCAACTATTCTAACCCGTTAGCCTGCCACATGTCCGGTCCCATGGTTATCTTAACCCACCTTTTTAAACCGACCCCCTCCTTTCCTGTTTAGTGTTTACCTCCTCTTCTCTTTCCTCTTCATTAATGACTAGTTGGGTACCTCTCCTCTGTCATAGAACAAAGAACATATTTTTAAAGATAGAGAAGGAAAGTTGGGCCAAAATTCCCAACTCTTTCTTTTACTAAGACCAGATATTACAACATCAATTAACAAATATTATATTAAGTAAAGTAATCATAGACATACAAAAATATATCATTAATTCCCTTCTCTTATTTTATTTTTTCGTTAATCCTTTTTTTTCTTTCCAATTTTTCGTTAATCATTTAGGTGCCATAAATTGCATAGAGGAGCGAATGCCTCCTCCATTACCTCAAACCTTCCCACTCTCTCTTTTTTTAGTCCTTTATGTGCCATAAGTTGTATCCTCGCTGTTGACCACCACGGTAAATGGTATGAATCTGAAAAATTTATCATAAATCTAGCAATTTTCAAACAATATAGCATCATTACCTTTTTTTATCTATATTTATATGGTTGTCGTCTCTAATATCAAAAAAACTCTGATTTCGTCTATTACATGATAGATTCTTGTGATGAAATAAGTAAAGAAAAAAAAAGTTGTGAAATGGGTCTAGAAGAAAATGGCTGAAAAAGGTTTATAAAAACAAAGTAGTTAACGGCCGAAAATGGAAAAGAAGAAGAACACGTTGGTTGTGGTTAGGCCTGCACAAACCGAACCGGAAAATGGCACTAAACCGAAAAGTGAAACCAAACCGATTAAATAACCCGATAAAGTTTGATTTGATTTGGTTTGATATTGAATAAAAAAAAATCGAACCAAACCGACATATAGATATATAATTTTTATATATACTTTTAAGACTTTATATAGAATTTTCTTTAAAAATCATCTAAAAATATTTGGGATTCTTTTATGGGATGTAATATTTAATAGAATATGAAGTGCTCCATTTTTATTAACTTTAAATAATGTGTTGTATGACCACTTTCTTATTAAATGTTATTGAAATGCGTCAATCTTTTTTTTTTCCATATTCGTATGCCAAGATCTATTAGATTCTTATATCTTTTATTAATTTGAAGTGGTATTTCGATAATTGAAAATTAAATAGAACATACATCATTATTTAGGTATCGTATAATTTTTATGTTTAATTATAAATTCAGTTAACATTGAAAGTCTGCATCAACGAAATTTTATTGTCAGAAAAATAACTATCATGTGTTACTAAGAATTTCTCTCATAAGAATATTTTAATAGATTGTATGTCTGTTAATTTTTTCAATTCTTATTAAACATATATTTACTTATCAAAAATTTAACATAGTAAGATAGACATATTATTCATGTAACAAAAAAATCTGACAAAACCGGTCCATGTATACCCCTAGTTGTGGTGGAAAAGACGAAATTAGATGGAGATGATTTTCTTTTTTTCTTTTTTCTTTTTTTTCAGTTCAGCAATGTTGAGCTAAAATTTCGATGTCAAAATTATGGGTTCTAAGAAGGAGGAGAGTTAGCCATTAATGGACACGGGTCTTTGGGTCAAAGAAATGGGTACGGGCCTTTTAAAATTTGGTCTGATAATTGCCCAGTTGGCAGTTAAAGTGAGGGGTCTCGTTGCCACGTTGGAGATCTGTTAGGGTTGGGGATGATTTTATTTACTTTGTTAACAGTGAGGACATATTTGGATAGAAAGTAAAAGAGGATATAAACGTGAATAATTTACCAAACTATAGAGACAAATCTGGCCTTTTCCCCTTTTCGGATTCAATTACAACTCTTTAGCTTTAATCTTTCCATTTTGTCCTTATTTACGAGTTCTAATAGGGATGACAAGACATATTAGTGATCACGATTCACAAGAAACTAAAGGCACTTTTGGTATATATACAATCAAACCTCTCTATAACAACCTTATTTGTTCTACATTCGTTTGGCTATAGCGAAGCGATGTTATATAGAACATATATTATGGAATAACATGAAAATTGGTTCCATAAAAAACTTGACTTTTATAGTGAATGACAGTTATATAGCGATGCTGTTTTAGAGAGGTCTGACAGTATTTCGTTTATGTATCAAAAGACGTCTTTTAATCATAGTCTATGATCCGAACCATATCCGATCCGACCCGACCGTTTGACACTTCTAATCACAAGATACTAAAGGCACTTTTGGTATATATGCCGTCAAACCTCTCTATAACAACCTTATTTGTTCTAGATTCTTTTGGTTATTATAGCGAAGCGATGTTATACAGAATATATATTGTAGAATAACATGAAAATTGGTTCCATAAAAACTTGACTTTTATAGTGAATGACTATTATATAGCGATGTTGTTTTAGAGATGTCTGACTATATTTCGTTTATATATCAAAAGACGTCTTTTAATCATAGTCTATGATCGATACTCAATCAAATATCGTCATATAAAATAAAACGTAGAGGATAGTTGTGTCATACCTCCCTAACATCATGACAGTGGCTTGAGGATTAGCTCCGGGAGAGTAATTAAAAGTTGATCCACCAATAACTCTCAAAGCATCAACTCCCAAAACCTTATAGTCTTGATCGACTACCTTACCCACTTGGCATCCTCCATGGTAATGCCAAATGGTCATGACTGTACCTTTACAGAACTGTTCCAACGATTCTGAAACATTGTTGTGCCGAGGCAATAAGTTTACAGGGGCACTAGCTGTCAAGTTGAGAAGGGCAGGAAAAGATAATGAGTTAAATCTGAATTTGGTGAAGGACTTAGATTCAATGACTCTTTCTATCACTTTGATCCCATGTACACATCTTCGCAAGTCCTCTGGATGTTTGAAGTAGTTGAATGTGACATTTGGATTATCGTTCGGGTTCCGAGTTCGCAGCTCTAGATGACCAGTGGATAATGGACCCATGATTTTTTCCAATATGAATCCTCCTCTGAAAGTTGATTTATCCTGTTCATTCATGAAGTTATTGATCGCTTTCTGTATAGCTTTTTGGCAGAGTTCTTTGTTTTACTTTGGTTGGACACCAAGTTTAAGAATCTATTAAAAATATCCTTTAAGTTAAATGGTCTTAAATAAATGTCATTCTTATAAGAGAATGTCAACAATTGCATAATGTCTACTAGAATTCTCCGCTTAGTAGTCAGTTTATTAGTTTATGCAAATACAAAGAAGTTATCATGAATGAACCATATTAAAGTTTCGATTTCTTTATAGTAATGTACAATATAATCTTTGTTTTTTCACACAACATAGGTGAAACTATCATTTATCTATCATCCTAGGCAAATATAGGATCTAAAGCCAGTGAGTTTAGAATAAACTACTTATCTTATTATGTATATACATTTCAAAAAGAATTCGTGTATATATACAAAGTTCGAGCATAAAGCAATAGATTATACTCGAATTAGTAAGAGTTTGGTGCAAACAAGAGTACCTCTGGATTGCTGCCAAGAAAGTTTTTACCAGAGGCAGCTTCAATGTAGGTTCCAAAGGGAGTGATGCCAACAACTTGAATGAGACAGATCTCTACTGGCACTGGTGAAGGCACAAATATTGCATTCATTGGGTTATCTGACATGCCTTGCCCAATCATGGGCTGGTCCAAAACCACACTTATATTATGGGCCTTAAGCTGCTGTGATGGGCCTAGCCCACTCAACATTAAGATCTGTGGGCTCCCAAGTGCCCCTGCTGATACAATAATTTCATTCATTTCCCCTCTCTTCAAATATGCTTTGTGCTTCCTCCCTGATGCATCCCTAAACACCACTCCATGAGCTAATGGCCTCATCTTTCCTGCACAAAGTTATTAGTATTCCATTTGTCTGAATTAGAAATTTATGATGCTAATTTTATTAATGTAAATCATGCTATAGCTATATAGTTTGAGAAATAAAAAACATCTTATCAAAGCTAAAAATTAAAATAGTTCAACTTTGGGTGTGCACAAGTAGGCACCTCAACTTGTCTCCACTTTGTCAGTTGAACATTCCAACTTACAAAATGATAATCTAGACACCTCCAAAATTTATGTGACACGTCAGCATTTGTATTTATGTGTTCACCTTTATACAAGTTGAGGTGCCTACTTTTGCACATCGAAAGTTGGAGGGCATGTTTATGTATTATGGCTAGTTAAATAAATTTGAATTGTTGAAAGATCTGAAAGTTAATGTAAAGTTAGTAGTAGCAGAACTAGTATCAAAATTATTACCTTTGCTTTTGAACAAGATTTTGTGGGCAGAAGCATGCAAAAGTACAGTAAGTCGAGAAGGATTAGCATATTCAAGAAGATCAGCAGCCGTATGCCTTGTGCCATCAGAATCAAAGATTGTCCCACCAATTTTAGTCCCGTCCAAATGATCATACGTGAAGCCATTATAAGGCCCAATTCCAACTTCAACAAGACCATCCCTCACTGCAGATTGCCACTCCCTAACCATTGGCTCAAATGCCACCTTCTTTTCTACCCACACGTACGACTCGTTCACTAGCCGTCCATCCCAGCCGACTGTGTTAACATAGGTCGTGGCAGCGCGTGTATAAAATCCCGCGTTTAAACAACTCCCGCCGCCTAAAACACGGGCGCGGGCATTTATCACGCCATCTTGAGATGGCGAAGATGGAGAGAGGTCGGAGAGAGGTACTCCGAATTCGGATAAATTAGTGATGTTTTCATTACCATAAGGAGAACCTCCACGTTCAAGCAAAAGGACATTATAGTTTTGTGAAAGTGTTGCGGCCAACGGACATCCAGCGGTGCCTCCGCCAATGATTATGTAGTCATAATATGCGACTTTTGGTGCTCTGGTCGCTTGGTGCATGAACGAGTAGTTTGGAGCTATATATCATATTATTGAAGCAAAATTCCCAAATAAATGCATTTATATATTTGAGTTGTAAATTCATTATTGATAAGGAAGACATGATCTCTAGACGTTCACTCAACTAACGAAAATTGTATGAGAAAGACACTTTTCTCTGTTTCACAAAAAGTCACCTTTCTTGAAAAAAACTTATTAGTTAAGTGACCGTCTAAGATCAAACTCTGATAAGAAAGTAATATCTCATACCTTTTTCAGATGAACTGAAGCCATGAAAGAAAAAAACTCCAAGAAGAGCCGCACTGATCAACTGATACATTATCTAGTTTCTTCGATCAGTTTATCATAAAGATCTGAAACATAAGTTTAATTAGCATCCCAATAACAAATCGAATAATCAAAATTTCGAACAAATTTATGATGAACTGATCGATTTATAGTAACTACCACGTGTGACATGGCTATACTAAGTCGCTTTGTTTTTTCATATAGAAGATTTTATTCAGAATTTATTTTGTGCAAGTGCTTGGCATGAACTTGATACAATTAGATTTGTCAAACGAAACTCAAACTATAATTCCGTATAAATCATTTACTGTCTCTTTATCATTTCATATTATGAGAAATCAATGACGTGATTGGCACTTGGCATCTAGCCGGATTAGGATCTTATCTAAACAAGATATAAAGACCGAGTGATGAGTTCCTTTATATGTTATTTTATGGGATTCAAGACAAAGCAACACCACTCTTTACCAAATAAATACCTAGTGTTCCAAAAGGGCAAAGACGATGTTCTCACAACTGAAACAGCAACAACAACAAAGCAGCAACAGTAACTATAATTAATATAGACCAACCAAAGCAAGTCGATCATTTATGCAGTAGCACCGTCAGGGTCAGCTATGTCCACTCTACGTGCTTGCCTTCACTCTTACTGTAGTAGGAAAAACATATATAAATATAATAACCAGGTCAATTATTTTCTCAAAAGAAGTGCTTCACCAGTAGCAATTTCCCAATTTTAATTTTTTTGATGATCAACCAAATCTAAGGCGGATCCAAAAATTTTAATTATGCTTCTGGATCACACCATTTTTGCTTACTTCTTGATAGATTATTTACAAATACAAATACAATATCTAAACTAAAATTACTGATTTGTACAGAACCTGTAACCATCTTTGTAGATCATAATTAAGTAACTTGTAGAGTAGTTCCCGCGTCTTCTTCTCCTTGCAACATATCCCACCAAATCATGTTTACGTATATAGTACGTTAGTTAACACATTTCTCCGGAAAATGTTTTTCAATTTTTCCATGTTTGGTTGCCTTAAATGTTTTGGAAAACATTTTCCTTATCAATTCATTTTCCTCCAATTGGAGGAAAATGTTTTCCTGATCAAGAAAAGGGAAAACATTTTCCAAAGCTCCTTCTCAACCTTCCCCACCCTCACCAACCCACCCTATCCCCTCTCCAAAAAAAAAAGATTTTTTTTTTCAATTTCAGTTTTTCCGTTACCACCCACCCTACTACCCTTCCAACCCCCACCACCCCCTCCCACTCCCCCCATCGCAAAAAAAATTTGCAATTTTAAATTTTTGTTTTTTCATTTTTCTGCACCACCCCCCCCCACCTGCCCCTCACCTGCCCCCCCCTCCCCCACACACTAAAAAAAAAATTACTATTTTTTTGTAATTTAAATTTCTGTTTTTTTTCGTTTTACAGCCCCCACCCCAGCCCCGCTCTCCTCCCCCTTACCCTCCCCCCCCCCCCTCCCAAAAAAATAAATTTAAATATATTTTAAGTTTTAATTTTATTATTTATCGGTTTAAAGGCTCAAAATTTTACAAGTTCCAAAATTATGAGTTCGGAGGTTTATGTGTTTGGAAGTTTACGGGTTTAGAAATTATAAAGTTTACGGGTTCGAAATTCCGCGGTTTTGAAAGTTTAGCTGTTCGAAAGTTTATGAAATTTGTGGGTCCGGAAGGTTGTTAGTTTGAAAGTTTATGGCTTCATGTTTATAATATTTAAACTATTTATGAATACTCTTGAGAAGTCATTTTCCTTAATTTGCGTACCAAACATCGGAAAATGAATAAAATTATACTTATTTTTCAAGAAAACATTTTCTTGGAAAATCTTTTCCACGGAAAACATTTTCCGTTATACCAAACACACCCATAGTGTTTCACCCCAAAAAACATCATCATTTTTGAAATGGAGAGAGTACGTAATTACTTTTCTCAAATCACGAACCCCTTAAACTACTGCGAATATAGTTTAAGTTGAGTTATTTTTAAATCAAGGAATGTGTTAAATTTTTGAATGGATAAAACCAAAATACTGTCACGTAAACTGGTAAAGGGAGTATTTACTAAGGTGGAGATTCAAAGTATGCAGGAAGTATGTGTATATATATATATTTATATATATGCGATAACTTTTTGTTCAAGCTATGATCTTATAGAAGCTTAATTTCTTAGGGAGAATATATTTTTATTTATTTAATTACTTTAACATGTCATATACATTCTTTTTTATAATGGGTGATGATGATATTCGAACCCAACCGATGCTCTAATATCATGTTAAAGTGTGCGTCTATCTCATCTAGAAAGCTAAGTTATTAGAAAAAATATATTTTTATTTACTTAATTATGTCTTATAAAACACTTCTGTCGTAAGTAGGGATATGATATACCCATCTAAGGCGACCGTCAAATGATAAAAATTAGTCATGTAATTAACTTGAATTTCATTACCAGGAATGGAATAGTTTGATTATTCAAATTGGATTTCATATTATCACGATTCACGAATGGGAATAATATGCTTAATTTTCTCACTCTTCTATTAACTATGAAAAAAATTAAGTGAGAGTAACTAGAGGCGAATTTAGGATTCAAACTTTATGAGTTTAAATTTTATGATTCTTAACACTGAACTTGATTTTAAAATCATAGGTCTAGACCTACTACTTCACTACTAGAAAATGGCAGATTTCAACGGCCAAAACGGTCGGAATTCGGTCGGAAATCACGTATCTCCGACTACTTTCCGACCGAAATTGGTCGGTCGGAAAAAAGATAGTCGGAAAATAATTTCCGACCGAATCTGTCGGTGATTTCCGACCAAAGTGGTCGCAAATTTCAAAAAGGCCAGACAACCAAATAATTCATGTTTTCGACTAAAGTGGTCAGAATTTACCGACTGAATCGGTCGTAATAATACAAATAAAATTAATAATTAAAAATTAAATTTTATTCAATTTCCGACGGAATCCGTCAAAATTTTTGGAATATTAATTTTTTTTAAATTTCCGACCGAATTCGGAAATCTGGAAATTTATGGTTAAATCTGGGCAGCTGTCCGACCTTTTTCGTCAGAATTTTGTATAAAACTGGGCAGAATTCTGCCCAATTTCGAGCTACACCACCTGTCAAACTATTACAAAACAAAAAAATACCAACCAATAATACATGAACAACAATACGAACCAACGATACATTAATACAATAATACGAACCAACAATACATTAACACAATCTAAATTAACAATACATTGATAAAATCTAAACCAACAATGCCAACCATTAACACAACTAAAACCAACAATACCAACTTTTAAATCTAACAATTTTGCGCATAAAAACATCCAAATAGAAGCCCACATTCATTTTTAAAAGCAATACATAAAGTTGTCTCTCACAATCAAGTTTACCAATCAACCAAAATATCACAACTAAACTACTACACATCAAATTCAGTTTGATCATCCTCATCATCAGATAAATCATGCCCATGTTTACGCATGAATTTCTGCATCATAACAAATGTTCCGCATTGGGAGTCCAATTGTTTCTTCAATTCACAAATTTCGTTCCTCATATCTTCCATCTGTTCTTGATTTTGAGGAGAAGAAGAATTGGCTAAGAGTGTGTTTGGATGACCTGTAGGTCGACGTACTCCTAGTCCGTAGACTCTGCCTTTGTTTGCTCCACCCGCTTCCTCTGTCCACAATGAAGCCATATCATCAGGTGTTGGTTGAGTTGAAGGAGGCTTAATTTGTTGTCATTCTTCCAACCTTTTATGATAATCTTCCTGAAATGAAAAATATAACTATTATGTAAACAAACTAATATTAATAAACCATAAATAATTGTGAAGTTAGAATTTTACATATGTGTCTGACGCACGCATCTCCACCCAGTGTTCTCTTGTACCATCCTTCTTTTTTTTCTGATACAACTCCTCGAAGACCTCAGCGTGACTCATATCTCGACATCTTTCCTTTTCCTTCATAAGAAAAAGTATGAGTTAGACATTACAAACGTAAAATTCTATATGTAAAAGTAAGAAAATTTTTATAAATAACTACCATTCTTAGTTTATGGGCCGCAAAAGTAATCGAACCTCCTGTGTGCAACGAGCCACCTTTATTAGAAGCACGATTTGCCTTCGCTTGTTCACTCTTTGCCTTCCATTCTGTGGTATTCCATTTCTCAAGATGTTTATCCCAAACATCTTCTCTTAACCAGTTTGGCATTTTACCGGAATTCCGAGCAGCGCACACAATATCTTTAATCATTATAGCTGCTTTCTTCTCGAAAATACTATTTATTGCATTTTTATGGTGAGGAAGCTATGTACACCTTGTCTGCAATATAAAAAGTAACATTAGATGAAGGCGATAATTATTAAATAAATATAATTAATTTTTACCCTAAATTGATTCCACGTTTGCTCTCTGATGTTGTACGGTATCTTTCTCCAAAAAGTCCACGGCTCATGATAAAATGGCTTCCAAGAATCCGTAACCAAATGTGTATTCTGAAAGGATGGCAAAAAACTGCATTAAAGTTAACATATATATAATTAATAAACATCTTTTAATTTCAAAAGTTTTAATTACAAATAAATATTTCTTAATGTTAACATATCTAGAAGTACATTCAAAACATAAAAATTTGTATAAGAACCTTCTTACCCATCCTCGTGGGGGACGATTATCAATCGATTATAACTATCAAATTGTACATCCCCTTCAAGATTCTGCCTGTGTCTACTAGATGGTGTAGAAGCACCACTAGATGTAGCTGGGCGAAAGCCTCCAATATCCAACCTAGATATGCTAGGAATGGATGATGATGATGGACTGGAAGATTATGGAGCAACAAAAGATGAACCATCATCTTGACTACCATGAAAGCTCGGTGTGTAGCAGATGGTGAGCCAGTATGCTGACTACCATGAAAGCCCGGGCGTGCAATAGTTAGTGAACCAGTATGCTGACTACCATAAAAGCTCGAGGGTGCAACAGATGGTGAGCCACCATGCTAACTACCATGAAAGCCCAGTGAAGATAACGGTATAGAAGGTGTGGGTACAAAGTTAAAAAGGTGTTACTTTGACTGCCTTTGGCAGGCATAGAATAA